CGACGTGCTATCGTTTCCCCGCACCCGGAGCTCCAACGGAACCCCGCATTTCCCTTGCTGAACATCGTATGCCTGATGTGCTTCAATATGCGTATGTATCGCACTGCGCTGGCTTTGTTGGGGCGGAGTTCGCAAGTGGCTGGGGCAGTCACACTCGGCACAACAAGTTGTAAGGAGTACTTCATCGCCACAAATTTTCGTGGCTGGTCAGTCAGCGTTTAAGCAGGTATCATTCCCATGACGTGTCATGTGCAGTTTTTATGCTGTATTATGTATCTGAAAAAAGAACAACAATCGCCCGATCCTGGTGCGTTTTTTTGTGTTTTGTTTGAGGGGAAGGTGGAGCAAGTGCCGACCACGAGACCTTCGACAGTTTCCAATCAGCCATGTATAGGCCAGCCTTTCCGTACATGGCCCGCCCTCAGTCGGCGGGGAGGGGTAGGGGGAGGGGAGTGACAGGTGAGAGGTATACATTTGCCAATATAATTGGGCCGGCTGCAGGCGCTGATTGTGTCGTCGTCGTCGTCGTTAACCGGATGATACGTCGCGACCGCAACTGGCCTTAGATATGCCCACACTCTGCTCATCCAGTCTATTTTGCTTACGCATTGTCCAACCGCTTATCAATTTGTAGAGTTTTAGCGCTGAACGTTACAACTGATGAACAATGAGAATGTGTTTTGCATCTTTTCTTCATGCCAGCAGTCGGTATTTTACACCTTCTAACGATACCCATATGCATTACGGGCGTACGCATTACACTCATGCAATTATCCACACCCATCATCCATCGGATATTTCCCACAAGCAATGCACTTCTCACCCCGCTCGGCCGTCGGCCGCCTCCGACCCATGGATCAGCCAGATCGTGGTCAGAGCGGTGGCGTGGGCAGCCGAGGCGGGGCGCACCAGCGGCCTGTTGACCGTTGTCCCGCCGACCAGCCCCGGCGGCGGCGAGGTCACAGGCAGCGGGGGCTGCACACCGCGCGGTCGATACTGCCCATCGGTACCGTGTCCCTCGCCATACCCCTCACCAAGCCTGCTCAGGCGCGTTCAGGGTGCTCAGGCTGCTCACTGGACGTTTTAAAGCGATTTTGCTTGTACCAGTTCTGTCTTTTTTTTGGGGGGGGGGGGACTTTCACTGTTGATGTTAGTCCAGCGGCGGATGATATAGCACTGGCGTGGATATATTTTTTAGAATTCTTTCCAATTCCGCCTGGCTTTCCAGACAAACACCCGCTCACCAGCTCGCGTTTTTTATTTGAGCCCAATCCTGTCCGGTCCGGGTTATATCTCTGAACATGTGGCATAAGCTAGGACGTCATTAAGAATTTCTGATAAAAATCACACGTGCAAGTTCTGAAGTTGTCCTTCAAATATCCCTGAACTCACAGAGCTGACAAGTCTTGAGGGGATTGGTACACGCACGATTTGTTCTCCACGCCCTGTTTCTCGTCTATAATATGTCATCGGGGTGCTGCAAATTTTTCGAACGTAGGAACTGGAGGCATCTGCCCCCTCCCCTTCTGTCCCTGTAAATCAAAATATCTGAAGTGGCCAGTAAGATAGATACTAATCTGACCTCAAATAGGCTCCCTGACGTGTGTTCTGTCCTCAGCATCTCAGCAGAATAAAGGGCCGAGATCGAGCTCCTTACCCCTGCTAGCTAAATGTAAGCTAATACAAAATTGGCTAAATTCCTGACTCGCAGCTGGCAATACCCGCATAGCCCATGACCTTCAAAATACATGGAATAAGCACAGAAAGCTGGAGAAAAAGACTTAAGTGCAATGGCTGCTGCAGAAGTTGCATCACTTTTGAATACCCCTCCCCCTCCCACACTCTGTGTACTTCAACGGCCACTCGGACGCGTGTTAACAAGACGCCCAACTGACGGCTTCCAGCGGCATGAAACTATTTTATTGATTTAAGTTTTAACTTCGTATCCTAATGCAAATTTCCCTGCAAATAACAACAGCGCACAAAAAAAAAAAACAAGTTGAACCGCAAAATATTGGAAAGGGTGCATACTGCATGCATATGATGCTTGCTGTTTGCAGCACTGGGTGAAATAGCATCAAAAACGCTGATAGATTACCTAATTTTACCAATCACGTTGCTACTGGTATGGCTGTGCATTATGCTTTCACTACGTGTCAAGGAGACCCTGCTAGCAGTCGGCTATGGCTCACCCTGCTATATGCATAAGTAAATCATATGACAGGATAATGACAGAATAACCATCTATCAAACTGCTGTCATTATCAGGTAGGAATATCCCACTCCTAATATCCCACTTCCACTCAGGGAATCCCCTGTTAGATACTGTAGGTCCTCATCCGACACAGGGTACTCCTCATTGTCTCAGGGATCTGGGTCGATGTAATTCAAGCGCGACCTTGTCCCAGTATAAGAAATGGGTTCTGAAGGCCCAGACAGACACGGAGCCGACTACACGGCGTTGGTGGCCTGTGACCGACATAAGGACTCATGATCCCAGGGGCCTCGATCTGCGTAGGAGATCTTCTGACTGACATGCTAGTGGCCTATCTTGCGGACCGGGGCCCCTGAAAACGGCCCTCAGCCGGCCTACCGTACCCTCCAATGGGACCCTTCGTCGTCGGCCCCGAGGTGCCTTTCACGTCTCTCGGGACATGAGGGAAGGGAAAGGCCATGCCCTTTTCCCTCTTCCTGCGCGGCTCCGAGGTGCCTTTCACGCCTCTCGGGACATGAGGGAAGGGAAAGGCCATGCCCTTTTCCCTCTTCCTGCGCCCAGTGCGTGGGCTGGCAAACGGCCTCGTCGAGAGAGGGTTAACATGCGTTTGGCTGTGGGACGAATTTGACTCCTGAAGGTTTTAACAAAAATAAATTAGAAAGGTGCGCTGCAGCTGCGCCAAACTTTGAATATCTGCACGCAGTTGAATAGCCAATCTTTTGGCGTAAAAACTAAATGAGTCTCGTTAGACCGATGACCTATGGAAGGTCAAAGTCAGACCGAGGCTGTCAGGGGATGTAATATCTGTTGAATCGCTCAATCTGATACGACAACGGAGCGTTATGCGAGTCCACGCCTCTTTGGGAGACAGTTTTTTAGGCAATAACACAATTGAATTTGGGATTACAGCGAATTCCATTGACCTGGGGTCAGATATAAAGGTTGGACCGAGATCAAAACAAACCTACTTTTCTACTGGAGTGCTTGCTTTATGGAGTAGCTTCTGATGATAATTTTGCATTTTTTGATGACTTCTGTTCAGATGGACTTCTCAAAGATGAGATCTCGTCACTGAACTAAAATTATCTATGCCAACCCCTTGCTTTTGAAACGATCCACCTATCTTTAAGCAATTTAAAAAATCAAAGCTTCCTCATAAACTTCTGGTCACCGTGATTGTTAAAGGTTAAGAAAGGTCACTAACCTAAAATGGACGTCAGTAACCTTTTACCATCTAAGTTCAAGGCGGTTGCATGAAGAGGTCTGGGGCAATTTGAACATCAATCTTGAGTTTGATCCTGTTTGACCTTATTAAACGCAAAGGTCATGATCTATAGGTATCAGATTTTGACGCAAGTGAGTTCATATGCAGACTTACCCACTCTGTGAATCCAGTATCTCTAACCCTCTCTCCGTGCATAAAGTTTTTGTTTGATGAGACGTATTTATCTTCTATACGAATCGTCAGGTTTGAAATAAATCCAAAAGCTAATGCATCAGTTCGTGACTGAGCTGGTTATTTTGAGTTTTCCCCGTTAACTTGGCTAGCACGCGGTCTGATCATGACTACGCCACCGGACGAAAGGCATACGTACAATTTTTTCCATCCCGAATGCATTTAGCTAACGTCATAGCAACCATTTCCTGTGAACTTGCAACATATTAGACGTTTGTTGGACAACGCAACAGCAAGAGCGTTGTGCGACACTACGATGCAATTTAGGCAACCGAAATTTATTTGAAGTGAAAGGCTACAACCAAAGAGGAAATCGGATTTCCAGGTCTGGGTTGAGGCACATACAAAGGCCCAGCCGATTCGACTCGGCGAAGCCCATGCCAGACGTCACCGTCAGCAACCGAGCGCATTACTTACCTGGCTTCACATTATAGTCTCGCATTTCCCATCATGCAAATCTAAGCATGTTTGGTGCCTCTACAGGGACTACACAATTATATGGTTGCCATATTGTGTACCGTGCCGTGTACCGTGTCGAAGTAATCCGATGCTTGCGAACGTCTTTGAGTAAGAAATGGCCGGACCTGGGATGGAACTAGATCGTGCACACATACCCATAATGCATATTGAGCAACCACCCCATTGGGCGCGGCGTCTGTGCGCATAAATCACATGCTTTGTATCGTTGCAACATATGCGGTTGACATTTTCTTTGAAACATTGCGACTTTTCATCTCACCAGTTACGAATGATATCATCAATGGCATCAATGAATGACAATGAGATCATCGCTGCCTGTATATGAGAAAAATCTGCTTACCGAGCTCATTGAGATGAAAACACATTGGATCTCACGAACCAGGGTATGCTTTTACCGCTGGAGCCTTGTTGCTTGGTTGCCCCAGCCCTGTTGCTTGGCTCGTTTTCGGAGATGTTCAGGGAGGGAACCCTAATCGCCGTTTCCAACCAAGGACACGGTCGTAAATGCCGGATTGACCAACAGTATGTGACCAGCTTAGCTAGCATCCCTTTGACTCTGGGGCTCTGTGAACTTCGTTTTGGAGGATGACCGACGATGTCCGTGATTGCCGGCGGAGATGAGTTTCCATAAGCACATTCACATGTGCTCGAGCTCGCCGCGAGCAATCGACTCTGCTCACCTGGCCCTCGGTCACGGCCACCTACAGCCGGCACCAGGCGGCCATGAATTCTGCAGCACTCATTCTGTTGACGCCAGGCGTCGCCATGACGACACGCCCTCAGAGGCCCGCTGGCGGTAACCAGGCCGTGGGCAGATCGATGGTGGAGTCCGCCGTGCGGCCACCTGGTCATATTGACGCTAACCGGTGCTTTGTCGGGTGTGTCGCGTCGGTGGCTGATCAGTGCGGACCGTGAGGCTGGCAGACGGCGAGTGGCCCTGATTTTCCGGGCGCGGCGCGAGGAGCGCAAGGGTGAGACCGCGGCGAGAGACTGTGTGCAGCCTCTGGAGAGACTAACTCGGCGCCCGCAGCCATGTCGAAGAAGAAGGAGGCGAAGGCTGACGACATGTCGTGGGTGTTCGACTCGCTGGTGGACTTTCTACGGGGGCCGATCTGGAACATCCCTATGATCAACTTCATCGAGCAAAAGTCGATGATCTTTGAGCCGGACGGCGACAACCAATGCGAATACCGACGCGTGCACGAGAATTACAAGAACCTGGTGGATCTCATGCTGGGTACCTACATGGAGGACATCGGCATTACACCGCTGCAGTTCGAGAAGGCCTGCAGCAAGTCCTCCAGCCGCCTGAAGTCGCAGTTTCACCAGATGCTGTTCGAGCAGCTTTGGGCGGCCGATGACTTTGACATGTTCCAGCGCATGATGGTGCGCACCAACATCGAGCTGCAGCTGCAGGCGCTGGAGCTGCTGCAGCAGCGCTATGGCCTCACGCCGGCCAGCTTCAAGGCGGAGGACACTGAGGTGAGCGAAGAAGAGCGGCGCGTGCTCGAGGAGGTCATCCGCCGCTCCATGCTGGAGCACCAGCAGGAGAAGGAGCGCATGGACCAGGAGACGCGCGACCTGGAGCGCACGATTGCCGAGACGGGCGCCGAGCGGCAGCGGCTAGAGGCTGAGCGCAGCCGTGAGCAGGAGCTCATCCGCGCCACCATGCAGCTGTCGGTGAACGAGAGGGCGTCCGACGCCGCGCCGGCCGCCGCCGACGACGGCAAGATCAGTGCCGGGGAGATCGCGAAGCGTCAGGCCTACTTGCGTCAGCAGCGCGACAAGCTGCTCGCCATGAAGCGCTGCGAGCGGCAGAAGCTGCTGGAAAGCTCGGAGAAGAAGGAGGCGACCAGCCGTCCCAAGTCGTCACGCGCCGCGCGCTCTGCGTTTGCTGGCAAGATTGACGCGAAGACGCTGGAGATGAGGAAACACCTGGCTGACGCCCTGCGGCGAGAGGTGGTAAACAAAAAGTAGCAGTACCGACGGTAGATGGCGGGAGTGGCTGTTCGTCGGGCCCAGGAGGCATGGCCGTGATTGATATTGGGATGATGGCTGAGAAGGGTTTGCTAGACTCTAGATTACTCGGTAGTTCTAGGCGGTAGTTTTCAGTTGTGTTTTTCTTATGGTGCTTTGCCTGAGCTGTGTGCGCGCGAGACACGATCCTCTTATAACTAATCAGTTTTTTAGCGCAATGGTGATTTGATGTCCATAGATGTTGACAAGCCAGAAGGCAGAGCAATGGTGGAACTTACATATCTTGTTTTTGATGGAGATATTCCTTCTCACGCTTGTCTCTGCTGAATCTTCAGGAAGTAATACACTATGCAAGTACATGTCAAAAAACAGTGGCATATTTATGCCACCTATTCTGCGGCGTGGCGTGTCAGAAGCCGTTGGTTGTCCATTCGTGTCGGTCATTCAAACACGTTGTGCACCACGTCTGTGATGTTTCGCTGCCGATTCCTGATTGTCGCTGCTGCTGTCACCGAGGCGACTAAAATCTTTATTTGATCTTGCCGCGAGTACTTCATGTTTGGCCGGGCGAGACGGTGCAGAGACACAAGAAGAAAAAAAAAACGCTGGATCGTCGTGTGCCGTATCCAGGCATTCGATCGCGGCAAATATGTGAAGCTTTCACCGTCTCACCACCTGCTCACACGAACTGACGTATATGGCGGGAGTGAGAAAAAGGCCAGGGGGGGGGGGGGAGGGGAGAACAGTCCGGCAACAATTCATGGCCCATTTTACCTGGGACGGAGAGGTGTCGCTAAAGCGAGATGATCAGACCCGTTTTTGAAGCCAATCCTTTTCATTCATCACCGGTAGATCAATGGTAAACTGAGCGACTATTGAGTGGCCTGACCCACGTGCTTGCAAGTTCTTAATCACGCACGCCAAGACAACATGTTCGAATCGGCCGGACGGTGCTGATTGTACGTGACGTCACAAGGGCTTCATGGCGCTCAGCTCGCTCAGCCTACACACAAGAAACCGGGCGGCGTTGATTGTGCGTGACCTCACAAGGGCTTCACGTCGCTCAGCTCGCTCAGCCCACACATGAGAAACCTCACGGCGAAGATCCCTACGTGGCATGTTATGAAGTACGTGCCGGATCTCTGGCTATATTTGGCACTAGAACGGACAGTCAGCACGCGATACCGAGGATCCGCATACGCAACCACCCCATCGGGTTTGAGCTTGCCCAAGGCAATCACGCAATCATCAGTGGAGAATGAATTATGGTGTACTTGTTAGCACTGCTAATGAAGCTAAGTGAAATCTACAGAGTTCCCCTTGTGACTGGAAGATGTTCGATTCGGCAGCGTTATCACGTAATATGCCATGAGCACTTTCATCACCTGTGCGCATGATCACGAGCGTCAAGCTCAGGAATGAAAAAGCTACCTATGTATAGGATATGGTCAGTGATAAAATGGACACATATACAAACAACTTCATGAAAAAGTCTGAAAATGGAGTCAGCCTACAATAGAACATCCCAGTTAGACGAAACTCGAAGCTAAGTATTGGTCTGTACTCACCGTATGTGTGTAAAGCATATGTCGAAGCATTGAAGGCTCGCTTCATGAGCAAGTTGGGCCACAAAATGTCGCCAAACGCAGTATCTTCGATAAGAGTACTTTTTAGACGGTGACTAACATGTACTCAAAACTATATTATATCAGCGCTGGTATCACAGATCAGTGGTGACACAGTGCTTTTCTTACGACACTCCGATCAGCGCCCTTCGTTGATTTTCCAACCAAGGCTCACTTCACATGGCCCAAACGGAATAAAATGCCAGATAACACTAGTCGTAAGAATCGTGGTATCAGCACGCTCCAACGGACGTGATCAGTCTGCTATGCGGCGTCTTAAAGCGTCGCGCCATTTGGGGCAGGTGGCCTCGGATGGTCCATACGCGTCCGTGAATCGGGTTCACTGCAAGGCTGTAGGCTGTCGTTAGTTGCGTTTGCGTCTTAAGAAGCTCACCGGATTGAAAGACATAGCTAACTGTCAGTTTTTAAGGCGCTGTTCGTCTCTTCTAAAGATCTCCTATGGAAGGTGTCCCTGGTAATGGCCTAAAAAGCTCTACCGATCTAGGAGGCTCGCTTTTGTGGATACCGTAACTGTAGCTTCAGAGGTCATCTTTGTGGATACCGTGCCTGTAGCTTCAGAGGTCATCTTTGTGGATACTGTAACTGTAGCTTCAGAGGTCATCTTTATGGATACTGTAACTGTAGCTTCAGAGGTCATCTTTGTGGATACTGTAACTGTAGCTTCATAGGTCATCTTTGTGGATACCGTAACTGTAGCTTCAGAGGTCATCTTTGTGGATACTGTAACTGTAGCTTCAGAGGTCATCTTTGTGGATACCGTAACTGTAGCTTCAGAGGTCATCTTTATGGATACTGTAACTGTAGCTTCAGAGGTCATCTTTGTGGATACCGTAACTGTAGCTTCAGAGGTCATCTTTGTGGATACTGTAACTGTAGCTTCATAGGTCATCTTTGTGGATACCGTAACTGTAGCTTCAGAGGTCTTTGTGGATGCTGTAACTGTAGCTTCAGAGGTCATCTTTGTGGATACCGTAACTGTAGCTTCAGAGGTCATCTTTGTGGATACTGTAACTGTAGCTTCATAGGTCATCTTTGTGGATACCGTAACTGTAGCTTCAGAGGTCATCTTTGTGGATGCTGTAACTGTAGCTTCAGAGGTCATCTTTGTGGATGCTGTAACTGTAGCTTCAGAGGTCATCTTTGTGGATACCGTAACTATAGCTTCAGAGGTCATCGGAAGATTTTAGATTGGCGCATGTTAAGCATTCATCCTACGGCTGCTACCGAGAGGGACATCGGCTTTGGAGCAGAAGGCCAACTATTACTGACATATGTCTCGTACTCTGGCCGCCGCACCTCTGATTTAGCGCGATGACCAGTTGACAGGCGTGAAATAAAATGCTTGTAATTATGTGGTCTATGGTGCCCAATAAATGTAACAGAAATGTTCAAAATTTCTTGAGCAACTGCTGATAACCACATTGCATGGATTTTGTACTAAATTCCGCTGAGGGAGACAATGTCAGAATGTACAAGGCATACGACAGTAATACCAGATATGTACATAGATAGCACAAGTCGCCAACACTGCCACTAATTGCACGATTTCGTCGCATTACCAAAAGTGATATAATTTTCACGTACTCTTAGAACCATGATAATCGGTAGTGGTATGGCTACAGTGGTATGGCTACAGTGATGCAGTTTTGCAAACTGCGTAGGGGTGTGGGAGGAAACCCAGCAAGAAAATGGCTAAGCCTGCCGCTGAAATGCAATTGAAACAGCTTTTTGTCCAGATTTGACCCACTTTCGTTTCATAGCTGCGAGCAGGGACATAGCCAGGGACAAGGACATCTTCCGTATGCCTTTAAGCGCCGAGTGGAGGAGCAGCTGTCGGCGGAAGCAGACGCGAATCCTGGAGCCGTTGAGGACATTGGACCAGGTCTACCAGATCGCGCCAGTGGTGGAGCCAGACGGGAAAATCCGTCGGAAACTGAGGGCAAACGGCAAAGCGCGCTATCCGTGTTGATAAGTATCCACTGCCTCGTGTTCAGGACTTATTCGCTCTGCTTGCTGGAGGTCTCACATTTGCCCAGCTCGACATGTCCTGTGCGTGCCAGCGGCTCACCACACCAGAGCACCAGCGCCATCTGTTGCCCGTCAGCACTTATACGAGTTAATACCGCCAAAGACGCTTACCATGTGGCGTTAATGCAGCTGTACGACTATTCCAGCGAGAAATGGAAAAACTGATGGTGGGGCCGCCGAACGTCTTCGTTTTTTTCTGGACGACGTCCTGGTATCTGACCGGGACGAGGAGGATTTGCTCAAGACAATAGAACAAGTGCTGTCTCGCCTCCGGAAAGCCAGTATGCGGGTAAGAACTGGCGAATGCAAATTGTTAGCACCGTCTGCTGAGTATTTGGGTCACGTAATTGACAAATATAGCATCCGACCTACCAAGGCCAAGATCGGAGCCATCGCTGGAGTGCAGGCGCCGAGAAACGTCAAGGACTTGCCATAACTCTTGGAAATGGTTAACTTCTACGCCGAGTTCATTCCAAGTCATTGCCATGTCTTCATCCCTGTTTTTGCACTCTTCAAGAAGATCATTTTGAGCAAAACGGCTTTGCTGAATGCAAACGGCTGTTAAACCCGGGCTTACTGCTGGCACATACTAGCAAGGCTTCGTCCTGAAATTCCCCACGCTAACTGTCTTAGCAAACTTCCAGTCAACGCTGGAAGATTTACGGAGTTGGCGGACGAAACCGAAATCTGCTTCTGCTCGCTTGCCACTTCGAGGACAGTCACAAAGCCTCAGTCCCAAAAAGCTGAGGATGATGACAGCGCGTCACCGAGTTCTTAGTCAAGTCCTACGCTGTGTTCTAATGGGCTGGCCACAAAATTCTGGCGAAGGCTTTCGATCGTACAGTTGTCACCAAATTAAGTCGCACGCGCTGGGCAACGGCACTATGTTGAGCATTAGTGTAGTTGTTTCCCTGAAAATTCGAAAAAAATCCCGAAAGCCTCTGAACTGCATGCATGACATTTTGGCGCAGTTAAGAAGAAGCACTTGGTGAGATCATCAGTTTGGTGGTCTGACGTAGACAAGGAGATCGGGAGTTTGCTATCTAGTTGTGACATCTGCCAGCTTCATCGTCAGGACACAGCGAAAGAAAGCCTTCTCCCATGACAGTGGCCACGACTGACGTTGGCGTCAGGACGAAAGACATCGGACGGAGCAGGCAACCGAATCAGCAATCCATGCGTCATCAAGTTCGCCGTCGCCGCCTGAGCCTCGGCAGAAGAACAAACCGCTGCCCTGCCAGTGACACCTGCCAAAAGAACGGGTGAGTCCAGAGCTGGCTGTTCTCATCATGCAAGCAGTTACCTCCAGTCTGGGTCCACACGCAAGTGAAGTATCTTACAGCCATGAGACGATTGGACGACCAGAATTGCAGCGTCTAGCAGAAGTCACCAACAAAATAAAGATGATGTCCGATCCCATTGTCCCACTTATCGTTCACTGGAACGGGAAAATTGTCTCCGACTTCAGCGCAAGACGGTCTATGATTTCACAATCCTCGAGTCCTGCGAACACATCGATAAGCCTTTCGCTGCGCAGAAGCTGCACGCCAAGCGGAAAGCTGCGCTGGACATGTTGGCCATCTGCGGCATTGCGGAGTGGGTCGTCAGGCTCAGCTTTGACCCTACGGCTTCCGACGTGTCTTCCAGGGAGCTTACGTCTTCATCGAGTGAGGCTTTCACCTCAAGCTGCTAAACTTGGTGTGCCGGCATCATGCGCGAACACCTAATTCGAGAAGCCTTTGAATGGCCAAGAAGGCTGTTACCGAGTGCCTGGTCTTCTCTCGCCCCGACATTCAGATACTAACACACCTGACGGAGCACTGCCAGCTCGTGTGCACCGGCCAGTTCTGCGCCATCTCCGAGAAGGACGGCATCAAGCCGCCGCTCGAGGCACGCGACCATCTGACCGCGAGTTTCCAGTGTCATATCAGCAAGGGCCAGCCGCGCACTGACTACCGAGGGGTCCTGAAGCTGGCGATCATCGCGCTTGTTTGAGTCCTCACCAATACGTGCGTGTCATGCCACCTTCTTCTTCCCACCTTCATGTTGATGTCCATCGATTAAAAAGGTATCCACATTGGGGATAGTATCACTCCAGTCAGGCGTACATTGCACAAACAAGTGACAGGTATCTACACAAACACAATAAAAACGGTCAAGGTTGCGATGCATGCAAACAAAAAACAGCATGGGTATCCGATGGCCATGCATACCGTGTGAGCCATGCCCATGACAGTTGGAAACATACGCGTGGTTGAAGATTTATTGGTGACGTTCAGAAGCCGAGTCCCGCAAAACACCAAAACGCTTATTCGCGGCATGCAGGGAGCGTCATCCGTACCGGCTGGCTTCGGTGACCTCATGCGTTCGATGGCCTGTGACAGTTCTAGCAGAGTTGCAGGGCACAGCATGAAGGGAGCGTCATCTGTACCGGCTGGCTTCGGTAACCTCACGCGTTCAATGGCCTGTGACAGTTCTAGCAGAGTTGCAGGGCACAGCATGAAGGGAGTGTTATCGGCACCTGCTGCCTTCGGTGACCTCATGCGTTCGATGGCCTGTGACAGTTCTAGCAGAGTTGCAGGGCACAGCATGAAGGGCTGTGACAGCTCTAGCAGAATTGCAGGGCACAGTACAAGCGCTGTTGACCAAAGACGGGATGGTCTCGGCCCGAGCGACCCCGGAACGCCGAGCGGCTTCGGCCCGAGCGACCCCGGAACGCCGAGCGGCTTCGGCCCGAGCGACCCCGGAACGCCGAGCGGCTTCGGTTCGGGCGACCCCGGGACATGGGATAGCCTTGGTTTGAGCGACCTGGGAACGCTGGTGCGCTCTTCGCAATGTTGCGCCGACACTGGTATTCGCAGTGACTCTCAGGGGCTCTGATGCGGCTCCAGGTTCGCCGGACCTCGTCGCGGTCCTCTGTCGCCGGCGTCAGCTCGGATTGTTGCGCAGCCACAAGCACCCCGGTCGACCTGCGGGTAGTGCTCGTCGGTCACTGCATCCCACACCGCCATCAACTCTTCGTCGGCCATCTGTGCGTTGTAGAGCGGTCAGCCGTCAGGAGGCTCAGAAACATGAGGAACCAGTTGACACGCTTCCAGCGCCTCCTCGTGACCAGCAGCGGTGGCGGGGGCGCTGTATGCACACTCTGGCGCGGAGTGATACCGGTTGGTGGGCAGCAGATGGACCCGGCAGCACGGCGACGGATTCAAGAGTCCGTCAGGCTGGTCATGACCGGTTTCAGCACCGAGAATGTCTGGTTGAGGTGCATCGGCTATCACACCAGCTGCGTGATGTCGAGGTCGCTCGGGATCCGCTGGGGGCCTCGTGAACCGATTTCATGCATTCTTGGTGTCCTGGAAGGGCGTTGGCGTTGCAGAAGCTGCACGTCGGTGCAGATGACTTGGTAGCGCCGCCGCCGGCCGCCGTCGGCTGCAATACCCGAAAGGAATAACTCTGGGTCAGACTTGCAGGTGACACTAGGTCACGTCTCGACAGGGGCGTCACGCAGCGCCTGAGACGCCCGGGCGTGCGTCTACTGCCTCACATTCAGAACCCCCGGGAACAGCGCCGAGTCTCGGGGGTTCCAAGTCACTCTCACTTCGCCGCGACCAGTGGACAGCTAAGGAGATCAACACCATTTTACTCGAATACCGCACTGAAAACATGTCACGTCATGGCAAAGCATAATAAGGTCAGAGTAGGTCACGCGAGGACGTACAAGGTCGTATGAGATCATTCAAGGACAATGATCGCCGTTGCCAGTAGCGGGAAGCCACGTGCAAGAGTGACACGCGAGACCACCCCTATATCGTGTTTGTAAAGTTTATGACTATAATTTCATATACCACCATACCCGTTCTCAGGTTGTTAAAATACATTGCCAGGCTTCGATAAGCCTATGTACACTCTATGGAACTATACAATCTTGAGTACCTGTAGATGCACGACACACGGTTTCTGACTGCACGAAAACAATGCCCTGGCCACTTAGACCAGGTTAGCACTGTAGATATTCATTTCATGGTTTATAAACCGACGTTGGTTGACCTCAAAGTCAGCCTAAACTGGTATTTGTGTGCTCGGGATGCTTTTTCATGCAGCTGCATCTAACAAAATAAAGTTAGCCGGATGCATATTGTGAATGAAAACAAACAAGGATCGCTTTTGAGCTGCTGGTAGACCATTCGTGAACGATGACCAAACACGACCTGCTCCTTTTGGGGGGTAGGAATAGTCGGAATGGACTATGGTTAAAGGACAGAGGGGCCCGCCTTCATAAAATGACTCAGATTAATATTGTGCTTTCAGGAACATACCGCGTAGTGTAAACCTCGGTCTTATTCAAATTCAAGAATGAAAACAATATTGTAGGCTTTTGGGCGCAACGGCCTTCTAAAAGCCAAATTCACTGGTTTAACTTGTACACCAGTGACTTTTTTTCTAGTAACAGGCATCAAGGTTCAAGGAGGTTCCATGAGGAGGTCAAGGGGCGATTTGAACACCAATCTTGATTTAGACCTTGCTTGACCTTATTTTTACTCCAAGGTCATGACCTACAAACCTTACGTGTTCACACAACTGTTTTTATATGCTGGTCAATATACCCGGTGAGTTTTGTCACTCTAGCTCTTTTATTTTTTAGATACGGGGATGGGTGTCAAATTCAGACCCTAACCAAACCAACCAATCAAGCCAAACCAAAATCTTAACTCACCTGTGTGGAATACAATCAGCCACCCAGGCGCCTGCGCTTGCGGGCCGGCTAAGCGGTGGTTTGTACAAATGAAGCGACCGGTTTTGGTCAACTTTACTCATGCGAAATGTGCAGCCTGGCGCACACAATATCGTTGTGGATGACGCATATTGTATTGTTGATGTCTTGTGTCTTCAGGAAATATTGTTCATGTCGGATTACGTAGACTTATAGGGTCGTCCATGCCTTAGCGATCGGCTGATGACAGTGTTCTAGAATTGCCGGCTTCGGGTGTAAAGCAACACCCTATGAGGAGAAATTTTCACTCCTTTTCTCATATTTTACGTGAATTTTTCACTCCTGCCTGACACTGTCTAATCGCACATGCAAAACACATAATTCCCTTTCTGAGGTTTTCAGATGTCATCCAAAACCGAGCTCACTTGAAGCCACCAAGCATAAACAAGGCTACACAGAACCTGGACACCTATGGCTATGTCCTGCCTCACCTTTATCTAAATCATGTCGATGTATGCACAGAGCAAGGGCGCCAGGTACCTTCAAGCCCAAGACCCCCAGCGACTCCAGCCGCTTGCACGCATCAACTTTGGTTTGTTTGCAAAATGCGTCACAATTGGCAGGAGTGTGCCAAATGCAAGGTTTTCCCGCATCCCCAATTTTTTGTTTCACCACCACACCGCGAAAGCAGAGCTTGGTGCAAACACAAGCAAGGCCTGGTAGGTAATTTTGCTCCAAGTAGTTCTTTTACCCGACCATTGACCATTAAATTGCATCACTCCCGAAATGCAGGAGTGAAAAATTTCAGAAATGTCTTTTAGATAAAATTTACAAATGAGTATCACCATTTGAGCACTTGTTTTAACAGGCTTTAAGTCAAATAAGCTGAAAACAAAATCTTTCCAAAGAGGCATCACTTTATATATATATATATATATATATATATATATATATATATATATATATATATATATATTTAACTACTTTTATTTTTCTTGGTGTCATGCGAGTGTGATACCACTTTATTCTTCCTTGCTTTCCCATTGCTTTTAGAGGTACCATCTGTTGCTTGAAATGTTGACAAATTTCTCTGCAAGATGCTCCAATTGTAAACTTGCACGATTTTATGCATAAAATGGATTAATTCGCCAGCCGCCCAAACATATTTGATATGCAACCAAGCGTTGACAATTCACGGGGAATGAAGGAGACAATTTGAAACACGGAACTTACTTTTAGCACCATTTTTGCCCTGTTAAACCCTGGGTTGGCCATTTTTTGGTTAATCACGGTGCTCGATAACAATGAATCTAAGCCTTTCGAGTGTCTAACTCACCAGGCCCTCCGACAAGGCTATCCTTATGCTGCCATATAGAGCTTTGAGGCAGACCTGACGCAGCTAATACAGAAATGTTTGATGGCGAAATTCTGTCGTCCAGCGATGTTTATCATGCACACCTCTTACTTGTTTCGCATTTTAATTTCGTAGGTTGGTGGACGTAATCGATATTTATGTTTGGGGTGTGAGTGGGATGGCTCTGTCTGTCAGCAAACTGTGCAAACTGTGGTTCTGACTTTTTGTTGTGGGGACCAGGAAGAAGTGTGTCCCGAAAAAGCCAGCAAATCTCCTGTGGACCAAATGAATGCTTACCTTACCTACTTTCGACCCATTATTTGTAACCAGAGTTAGCCATTTTCTGTTTTAATCTATCGAGTTTTGTCATAAGACAAATTATGCTACCACAAGGAACGCAATGGGCTCATTTTGTTCCATATTCTTGATTATTTGCCCCAAATTTTGTGGAGTGGCTCCCCCATGGACCACCTCTTATCACGCTTTAACCGGATGTTTCCCATAGTTTTGGTTTGGTCTAGTTTGCTGACTGGCAAATAACTGTACTGTATATCTGCACTATATTTTTAACACTGTGTTATTCTAAGCTGCATAGCAGTTATAATATGAGGCAAATATCAGCATTAAGCAAATCGTCAGACCATCCCATTTAAGATGTGAAGCCAACATCTCAAACTATGTCATTAGGTATGAATACGCAACCCTAAATAGACACCTTTGCTGCAGCTGAAAAGGCAAGCAGCAAAACTGGCATGGTCATCTAAAAGCTATGTCACTTTTGCAGACGAGTGACTGTTTTGTGGAGCATACTCATTATTGACCTTGACAGAGGTTAACCATGACAATCAGAATAAGCTGCTCAAAGTGATTTAAAGTGTTGTGTGTTGTCAACTTTGTCTGATGTCAACAAGCATACAAAAATGAACTGAATAAAAATGCAGGTTGAAACCAGCCAAAACATGACCTTTTTCATGTTATTATTACAAGTACTGCTGTCAACAGATAAGTGAGTTGAGATGATGTTCAACATATGGGCTACTCTAAGTTAGGTTAAGTTGGTTAAGTGCACAGCGAATGACAATAGGAATTGTGCGGGGATCAGTAACTCACAACTGCTGCTGTGATACCAACAGGTTAGACAGGATGAGATGAAGTAAGGCCTCTTAAGGTTAGGCATAGTGAGGCTACTTTCATGGAAATAAGCATTGGTATTTTGTAGGAAACAGTGACAAAATGTTTGTTTTCCCTGACCCCATCTTAACAGAAGCCAGAGGTATGTGTATTTTGTTTGGCTTGGTGATGGGCTGATGTGGAGGACTCCAAGGTTTTTCTGTTTGAGTTTTTCATGCTTGTTGAATTTTCTTTTGTTATTTTGTTGTTTAATTCCTTTGCTTTTTTTGTTAAAAATGCCGTGGAAGTGAAGTGCAAAGTGCGGCATCAAATTAGTAGTGTTAATGAATTTCTATGCTCACTACACTGTCATGAAGTTGCGATGCTTTAATGTATTCTGTTTCACTTTAATGGCCTAAGATGTTAACAAACCAAACAGTTTTGTCAGCTTTATGATACTATGTCCATGCCAACCCGAAATAGATGTCTTTGTTTGCTGAAGCATCAGTCACTAGCTCATAAGTTCCATCTTTTTTAAATTGAATTTTTCACTCCCGGACGGTCGTTTTGCGATGAAATTTTCACCCCA